TCTACTTGAGTGCTTTCTTTAAAAATCTGGTCATTATCCATGGTTTGGTACTTTCCTTTACCTTCCCATATCTAATCGGACACTGTCTTGTCACATTAAGAACTCATACCCTGGAGGTATCCTGTTGGAGCTCAGATATTGTTCTATCTCTTACAAGATGCAATTTCTGCTGGGGCTGACTGTCAGACACTGAACAACAGATGATTACAGACACATGTTTTTGTGAAAGAGAGGCTAAGGGGCTAGTTGGCATAAGGAGCCAAAAAGCCCTGATTGCCTGCCTCCTTAGGCTTTTATTGTCACAACAGCTTGAACGAAAATTAACTATTAGATACTATCAGCAGGGTAAGCATCCTTGAGAAAGCATATGCACCCTTTAAACAAGGACGTTTTGAAGTCTAAGCATAAATATTGTAGCAAAACACCCGGGGCTCAGACTTGTTTGGAAAAGTCAAGGCAGGGTCTGCCACCTTTGGCAAGGTCCCCCAGAAGCCTCTGACCTTTCAGAGAATCCTCCTTACAGACTTTTCAACCAAGTCCCATGCTTCCCCACAATTTCAGAAGTTATTTAGCTTTTGTAGGCCTCAGGTACCACATCTTTAAAATGGGGTAATAATTATATTTGTTTTATTTAGAGTTGTGAGAATTAGACTAGTACAGGTAATGGAACTTAGCATGTGGCATGTGATAAAATCTTGATAATATGAACTGTTATCATTATCAATATTATTAAGCAGTTTAGCTTTGGAGTAAAACACATATAAAACAGAAAAATTCCAAACGTTATTGTTGCAATTTTGGTAAGTCTTGACTCACTAAATTAACTTACTTGTAAAATGAATAGAATTTGAATAATTCAGATATATTAAGCAATTTCATTATTTCAGGTAATATTGCAAAGCCTGGAATAGTCGTGAGAGTTAAATTGTTCTTCCCTGACATAGGAAACATGTATTAATGTTAATTATTATCTTTTTTTTTTTTTTTTTTAATATGTCTTTACTGATTTCAGGGAGAGGAAGGGACAGGGAGAGGGAGAGAGAGATAGATCAGTGATGGGAGAGAATCATTGATCAGCTGTCTCCTGCATGACCCCTGCTGGGGATTGAGCCTGAAACTTGGGCATGTACCCTGACCAGAAATCAAACTATGACCTCCTGTTTCATGGATTGACCTTCAACCACTGGACCACACCAGCTGGACTGTTAATTATTATCTTTAATAAATTGGTTTTGTTTCCTTTATTTGTTAGTTTTTATCATTAATAATATTATTTTATCTGCTATTTCCATCTAGTTAAGCTTTTGGTAATTTAAATTTCTCTTTTAAACAGTGTATTGAAAATGTTTCCCGGCAGAATTGTCCAATATGTTTGGAGGTAAGCTTACAATATTTTTTGCTTTGGAAATATCCCCTCTTGATTGTAAAATACTTGGCTGTTTATATTGTCTTCATGTAAGCAGTAACATTTATTTCTTTTCACAGGACATTCACACATCTCGTGTTGTTGCCCATGTCTTGCCATGTGGACATCTTTTACATAGGTAAAGTAATTTTTTTCTCTCAAAAGATGTTTGGAAATAGTTTTTGTTTTACTAAAATAATGTGTTGTGTTTTTTTGTTTTTTCCCCCAGAACATGTTATGAAGAAATGTTGAAAGAGTGAGTGTTTGACATTTAAAATGTTAAAATTGTAAGATGTCTGGATTTTTTGTTTTCTTCTTTTTCATTGCTATTAGTATATTGGGCATGACATATTTATCTTCAGATGGGTAACGTAAGTGACTAATGTTAAACTGGGAAAGCATCTTTGGGGGTGTAGGACTATATCTTGGTCCCCATGCAAGATGCCTTATCTCATCCTACAAATGGAGACAGTTACCTCTGATTTCCTGGATACACTCACTAGGGAGCACAGTCTCTGACAGAGGCAGTCATAGCTTTGTAAAAGCGCTAAGGCATGTTGCTCAAAATTCTGTTAAGTCATTATGTTGTCCCAGTATAATGAGCTGCAAAGAAAGCTGGTAGCAAGATTATCTAAAGCTGAGACTTTATTGTGGGGAAGGATGTGAAATTGAGATGATAATTAGGAAAGAGGTGACTGTGTAAAATGTATTTTGTTTCTGCAAATTGATGAGCAGAAGTTTTAATTTATAATAGCCAGATAGAAGGAAACTTTTTCAGAATTTTTAGGAAATAATATCTGAATAAGTTTGAAGGAATATAGTGTCTTCTTTACTTAAATATATTCAGAAAGTGAGGTTGTTTAATTAAAAAGCAGCTTAAATTGGTTTTTAAAATATATTAAGTATATTCTACAATTACTATGGTGACTAATTCCTATCCATTTTAGAGAACTGAGAAGAAAGAAGTAGGTTTAAAGAATGCCATATGATTCAAGATTTAATTGAAAACTTTCATAGTATAAAAGTTCCCAGGTTTGTAACAGATTGTCTTGAAATATAGATTAATGCCCTGTCTTGGATGGTTTATGTATCAGTTAGCATGTATCTTCTATACTTGAGTTGATATGCTTCTAGTTTAATATTTGGAAAATAACCTTTCTGTCTTTTCTAGAGGCTACAGATGTCCATTATGTATGCACTCTGCTTTAGATATGACAAGGTACTGGAGACAGCTGGATGATGAGGTAGCACAGACTCCTATGCCATCTGAATATCAGAACATGACTGTAGATGTGAGTAGAATCAGTGCTGAAAACTTTCCAAATTTTTTGTTGATGTTCCTGTTTATTTTTGTCCTTTTGATCAAATCTTTCTAAAAAATACTGCTTTGGTATAGATGCCAATAGGATGATCTAATAGGAAGAACAGACAAAACAATCTTTAAATTTTAGTTATTTTGAACTTAAAAGACCAGGAAAAAAAAGTTCTAAGAATACCTTTGTGCAATTCTTCCCAACACTAGGTGGCAGGCACAAACTTTATTCTGAACTGTTTACACATTACTTGCCAGAATCAGTAATGTACCTGAGTAGAGGTGAATTACTGGTTTGATGTTTTATTTTCAATTATTTTAAATTGATTTCAAGCAAACATGTTTGCTGATTTTTGAGGATCACTTTTGGTTTTTAATGTTTATTACCGGTTTATTCTATCTTACTTAGACTTTTAAAATTTGGTCTTATTAGCCTGTAACCTAAAATATAAGAAGTATTTCTGTGCCGTTTGCCTTATAGAGAATGATCATCTTTTCTCCATTAATTGAGGTGTGGTGCTGTCTATTCTCAGCATATAGTATATTGAATTACAGGTCAGAATTAGAATTCTAAACAGCTTTCCGGTGCTTTAATAATTTTTGGACATTTAAATTTTCTAAACATCATTAGTTTAGTTTAGGTACTTCTACACAAAAGGATCAGAACCACTTATGAAAGCCAAATAAAAATTATTTTTTGTTTTATTCACACGAGCATTTTATAATTCATGTGGGTAATTGAATTGTTAGTAAAGTCAGTGATCCTTTTGGAATACTAAACTGATAATCACATGATGCTTTACTATAGGCTGCAGTGTGCGATATTCCATGTGGACAATTTTTTAAAATAACAGCTTTAATAAGATATAATTCACATACCATACAACTCATCCATTTAAAGTATACAGTTCAGTGCTTTTTATTATATTCTTGGGGTTGTATAGACATCATCACCATCAATTTTAGGATATTTTCATCACTCCAAAAAGAAACCTGGTACCCATTAGCAGTCATTCCCAATTCACTAGCTCTAGGCAACTACTAATCTATTCTCTACATTTAGATCATAAGAGAATTATTTTCCAAATTATAATTTAGAGTAAATTTTTAAGTCTTCTTATTATGGTGTGACTTTTTTAAAACTAATGCTTTTCTCACATAGTATTGATCAATTTTCAGGGTAACACCTTTTTTATTTTCAAGGTCTTAGTACTAGAAAAGATTCATTCCTAAATGGCATCTTATTGACATTTTAGGGATGAGCCAAAAGCTTCTCTTTGTTCAATTTTAGAACTACTTTTGAACTTTAATTCATTCCTGAGGCATTGAAGACTAGGAACTTAGTAGAGTAAACATAAAGAAAAGGAAGTGGAGGGTCTGTTGTCCAGGAAGACCTGGTGCTGAAGAAGTCCCTTAAACATAAATAGTCAATCTCCAAGTTTCCCCAATTAAAACTCACCCCACTAGCACTTCCAAATACTTGTTTCCTAACTCCTTAAAATCCTCTGATTATAAGCCATCAAGGAGTTTGGGCTTTTAAGCAATAGCTTTCCCATTCTTCTTGTTTAGTGTTAGCAGTAAAGCGATTCTAATTTCTCCACTGCCAAAACAAAAAAACCTAAAGAATAAGCAAAAATGTCATGATAAGTATGTAAAAATTTGTTTTATTAAATAACAATTTTTTAAGTGTTAATGAAAATAATGAAATCATGTATGTTATTTTGAATTGTAAGTACAGATGGTCCTGGACTTGTGGTGGTTTGATTTATGGTGGTGTAAAAGCAATACACATTCAGTAGAAACTGCCCAGGCTAAGCTATGATGTACAGTAGTTGTATTTCAATTTACAGTATTAACTTATAATGGGTTTATCAGAATGTAACCCCATTCTAAGTCGAGGAGTACCTGTATAGGTGTTGATCTGATAGTGCCTATGTTACTTTTCATGCTAGTACTATTTATACCACTTGGGAGCTATTTTAAAATAGACTTCTTGGCGCAAATCCACATTTTCATTTTCTGAATTCAAAGTAGCCTCTTAGAGTTTTCAGTGAACAAAAAATAGGGCATTTCTACTTATGAAAATGTTTAGATGTTTTTACATCTTCAGTATGATTTCTGAGGAAATGTTTTGAGCAATGTCACTTTATATCTCTAAGGTTTAATATTCTTAATTTGAATTTATCTCTTCACTTTTTAGATTCTCTGCAATGATTGCAATGGAAGATCTACAGTTCAGTTCCATATATTAGGCATGAAGTGTAACATTTGTGAATCCTACAATACTGCTCAGGCTGGAGGCTGTAGAATTACACTAGATCAGCAGTGACCAGCATATACTGCACTGGAAAACTCAGCATTTTCTGATAGAACAAAGCTATCTTTAGTATCCTATTGTCATAATGTGTCAGAATCTATGCATTAGAGTTGATGTGTTTTGTATTAGTGTCACAGCATAAAGTCATATTACAAATACTTAAGGATTCAGGGTCTCTTTATAGAATTATCATATCTCTATATTTAATGAACACCACTGCACCTATGTTTTGATTGAAAATTCCTTTAGCATCAGTTGTTTGGAAGCCAATGATGTTTGCCACTAAAACTTACATCCATAGAAATATGTTATACATTCATGGAACTTTGCTTTAAATGGCATTCTGCATGCAGAATTCATTTCTAGTTTGACAGAACTGTAATTAATTCTAAGTATTATTCTTGACTTTTTAAGGGCTGTACTATAATAAGAATATGTTCTATCTTACTGTTAAAATCTAATTCCATATGCTTTAGAAATTTATAAGACAGTCCTTTGGATCTTGTAAATGTGAATTTTGACATAATAACTGCTAATAAAATTATATTGAAACAGTGTTTTATAGAAAATTTTTTCCCAAGACTATCTGTTTTTGGCTTAATTAGGGCAATATAATCTTAATACTGTAATATTTCTTAAAAGAAACATTCTTTTGTTTTGAGGTATTCTTCCATAAGAGTAGTTGGGAAAAATGTAAAAGAATAGAATTCTTCTAAGTCTTAAGAAAACCATCAACATTGACAATAATTTTGTTTTAGTTATCCAAAATAATTTCTTCAAAGAATAATTCATTCAGTAGGTATTTAGTGAGCAGCTACTTTGTGCTGGGTATGGGTCTAGATCAGTGGTTCTCAACCTTCTGGCCCTTTAAATACAGTTACTCATGTTGTGACCCAACCATAAAATTATTTTCGTTGCTACTGCATAACTGTAATGTTGCTACTGTTATGAATCGTAAAGTAAATATCTGATATGCAGGATGGGTTTAGGCGACCCCTGTGAAAGGGTTGTTTGACCGCCAAAGGGGTCGCGACCCACAGGTTGAGAACGCTGGTCTAGATGCTGCAAAGACAACAAAAAACTACATAGACAAAAATCCCTGCCCTTATGGTGGTATATTCTAGTGTTCCTCATACTTGCTAGGCTTCTAACTTGTGGGGGGTTTTTTGTTTTGTTTGGTTTTTTATGCATACAGTGGTTGTCTTTGTTGTAAGTGGGTGGATTCTTCCCTAAATGCTTAAAGTAGATGGGTAGAAAGGGTACATAATATTCCTGGCAAGATCTCTGATTTTTTAATAGTTTTTTGGACTCATGTAGTAGAATTAAATATACTACTTAATTCAGGAACAATGCACAACAATACTTTAGCAGTAGTATCCCAACATTCAACTTAGTCTGTTTATAAAAAGCTTTAGTTTAGGAAGTAAAGTGTGTCCTTATCAGTCAACTCCCATTACATTTCTAACTTTGAGCTAGTTGAATCTTCTGTGAGTAAGGAAGATAGTGTTATAACTAGAGATCCTAACATTTCTGGTACATTTATTTTTTCCTTTGTTGAAATTTCTTTACCTGGATAAAGGCAGCAGTATTGATTTCCAGTTTGGGGCCTAGATCTTCTCTATTCTATCTTGCCTTCCTGTCTTACGTGTTCTATTCTTGCGATCTCTCCCTTCACCTATTTCTTTGGCCTGGACAGGGGGGCACTGCCAATCTTGATTTGGTGAAGCAATGGGATATCTTGTTCGGTGTTACTACTCGGGATACAGATAAGGAAAGACTAGTGTCCTAGTTGTAATACTTTTTGTTTCTGTTATCCTGCTAAACTAGTTAAGTTATATGATTGCTTTTAATCATAATCACTGGATCTTTGAGTAGGAGTGAGTATATAAAAGTGTTTTGAGAACCTATGCACCAGGCTTATGCATTAGTGTTAATCATTACCATAATCCTGTAGCATAGGTGTTGTCTTCATTTTATTGATGAGAAAGCTGATGTTCAGAGGTTATATGATATGCTCAAGTAAATGACAGGTACTAAATGTTGGAGCTGGGAATCAGGTCCAGGCGTGTGACCCCAAACCCACTGTACCACACTGCCTTTGACTCAAACTTCTATTTTGCCAAAGTACTCCTAATAGTTAAGTCATCTATTATGGAGGATCTCATGATTTGTTACACCTTCCAGTTTTAGATGTCTTATTTTAATTCATAATCTGATTACTTAAATCTTCAACTCAGGATCCAAATTTGTCCAAAATAAGCAGAATTAGCATGTAATTGCTTGTTTATGATACCCAGTTGTGTGCTTGAAGCAGTTTTCAAATGCCCTTGAAGTCAAGGCTTCAAAGATTTGATCATGACATGTCAATTCATTTCTCATTTACAATCATAAGTTCCTCAGCATTCAGTATGTAATAAAATGGAAAGTTAATTTTGGGGGGCTTTTCCTGATTCAAAAATATTTTTATTGTGGGAAATATGTAAGAAGAAGATAGCCCTGGCTGGATTGCTCAGTTGATTGGAGCATTGTCTCCTACACCAAAGGGTTGCAGGGTTTGATTCCTGGTCAGGGCACATACCTAGGTTGCAAGTTCAATCCCCAGTCTAGTCATGTACGGGAGGCAACCACATCAATGTCTGTCTCTCCCTCCCACCCGCCTTCCTTCTCTAAAATCAATAAAAAACATACTTGGGTGAGGATTAAAGAAAAATAAGGCAAGTTTCATCTTCCAGAGATAACTACTGTTACTATTATAACAGATAACTTCATTTTTAAAAAGCTTACAGGAATGTAGGCCTAGTTTGGTCTTAGAAATTGTCCCTGAAATAAGAAACAGCATAATTGTCCCTAATTTGTATCTCAGTGTACTTATTTTAAAAACTAGTAACTCAGTACGTTTATGAATTTCTTGGTGCATAGAAGCTTAGACTTGTTATAATTTTGGTCAAAATAAAGTACAAGTTCCCAACTGTGTATTTAATTAAGCCCAGATTCCTTGCTTTGAAACCTTTACAATATCTGTTCCAATTTTATCTTTTCAGTTTTATTTTTCATTTACATATACTTCTTAAACACATCTCCTCTGAATTTTTGCTCCTTGCCTTTGCACACATGGGTTCCTCATGGAACAGTCATTCTTAGAAAAATGTAGTTGTCAAAGACCTGCCTCTTCTTCACAATCCATCTCAAAGTTTACCTTCTCCATGAATGCTAATTAATATCCAAAATTTGTAACCTCTCCCTCTATACACTATAGCACTGTACCAGTTTTAAAGGACTTAGTATTTCCTTTATTATGGCTCAGTTTTTGCCTTTCCCCTTCTCATTTCAACATTGCTTATGAAGCACTGTATATAAAATTTCCTGTGGACAAAGGGATGGGGTTGGGGGTACAACTAAAACTGAAAGCCCTGTAGCAATTGACGTGTGGATGACAAACACAGGAGGTAATTGGTGGGAGCTAAGGTAGAGGTAAGAAGATGGGCTGTGGAAGCACCCTCACCCAGGGTGGCTGGGCGTGAGAGAAAGGGCCTATGATGTTTTGAGGACAGTGATGGGGCTTTTCACCTCAAAATGCCTTGTTCCTAAGAATTTGCTGAATTTCTAGTGGGATTAAAAAAACATCTTGTTCCCAAGTTTTCACTGTATTTAAGAATCTGATAGAAGTGTATGTACATTTGGGGGTAAAAATTCCATGAATAGATCCCCCCTCCCCGAAGTGTTTAGTACTAGAATGTATTGGTTGAAATGTGATGGTATCAAGAACCTTTCTTAAACTAGAAGACAGGAATCAAGTCGTGCTGGAATCTGGTTGATAGGTTCATCTATTCATTTATCCCATTTAACTAATTGTATTTTGCACTAGTTGTGCCAGATTATTAAAAAATGAGGAGTAAATGACCTCAAGTTGTCCTGGCCCAGGAGAGGTGGATGTGTGACAGTGCTACAGGAGTGTTTTTCCTGATTTCTAGTGTCAAGTGGCTCAATAAGTGAGGAGCCCTTAGAACAATTTCCGGACAATTTTGGCTTGGTTCTGCCACTTAGGGACCACAAATGTGTGGTCTTTGGGAGGTGTGTGAGCCTGTGACTTACGTGTTCTCTATTTTAGAATTAGTAGTTAAGCTTACATTCCTATGGGTGTCAACAGTCTTGCTCTGTGACCCCTGGTGTAATGCCTGACAGTTCATTAAGGATTGCCCTTGTCTAAATGTTGCTTAGGCCTGCCAAGCATTTGCTCTGGTAAACCTCTGATCAGGATCCGAGCATCAGGCTGGTTGCACTTGTTTTCTCCCAGGGTCAAAACTTCCCTTAATCACCCACCTGCTTCCAACTATTGCCCTGTTTTCACTCCTCTTGCATAATGTATTTTTCCATGTATAAGACGCTATTTTTTTTTCTAAAATTGTTAGACTAAAATCGAGGGGCATCTTATACACAGAAATCAGCCGAGGAGGGAGCCAGCAGGTGCATAGCTGCCCATACCTTGTCAAACAGGCTTCCTCCAATCATGAGCCTTATTGTTAGTGACGTCAGCTGATGCCATAATTGGAGGTGGAGTTGAAGGTGGAGAGTGTGCAGATGCAACAAGGACCAGAACATTCTGAGCCCATAAAGACGTCAAAAAATAAAAAGATAAATACCGGTAAGTGATTGTTTTACTCTGCAAAATTCAAACTGAATGTAATCAGCTATGCAAAAGAGTATGGATATAGAGCTGCAGAGAGACAATTTGGACCTCCTCCCACTGGGTGTAGGATCGATCAGACAGTGGAGAAAACTGGAAGAACAACTCTCTAAGATGCCAAAAAAGGCCTTAAGAGGAAAACCAGCAAAATGCTTAAAATATTGATTTAATTTGGGTTGGAAAAGTAGGGGGGCGTCTTATACCTGGGGGTGTCTTATTCACGGAAAAATATGGTATTCTGTTTTTCTTAGAGTCAGAATTCAGAATGAGCTAAGTATGGTAAACAGGCCTTTAGCCTGTCTAGAGGTTGCCACAATTCCAACCATTGCCAATAGAGTGGGCTTAGGTGGGGCTTGGCCACTGGCTCCTCATCCTCATGGGTGGGGACTCTGAGGAGCTGAGTTTGGAGAACTTTGAGAAAACAGTTCTGGGTCTTCTAGAGCAGCGGTCGCCAACCGGTGGTCCGTGAGGTCCGAAAGGTTGGCGACCACTATCTAGCCTGTTCACAACATCAGAAGATCTCTTGGCAACCCATCCCTGATTGCCCCAGACTGTTGTCCACCCACTTACTCCCACCTCCCACGTGGCATCACAAATTTGCTTGAAGTCTCTAATTGGCATTTTCTCCTTTGCTTAGATTATTTGCACATTAAGTTAATCTCCCTTGTTGAATTCCAATTTCCTTTAGAACAGTGGTTCTCAACCATGGCTGCACATTAGAATCACCTGGGAATCTTTTTAAAATCCTGATTTCTGGGCCTCATCCTCCGGAAATTCTGTTTCTTTGTTACTAATGTTGTGGCCTGAGCCCATAACAAAGAAACAGAATTTCCGGAGGTGGAGGCCCAGAAATCAGGATTTTAAAAAGATTCC